TACGTAATTCTAAATCAGACCTTAAAGAAAGTGGGTATCATCCAGTCGCGATGATTAATCCAGTCACATTAATATTCATCTTTACTGCAAAGATTAATGTGTTTTATTAAACACATTAATAGACCTGCTTGAAATGAGAGTGATGCCTTCCACATATTTGCTGAAGACAGAAGAAATTTAAATAGTCAACACAATTGAGTTTGCCGCTGTGTTTTATTTATTTCTTAGCTAATTGCTCTGTTCCCTTTTCCGGAACCAGTTCTTCAACCCACCAGACAATTTCTTTTTTATTTTTTTTCTATTATAAGTCTCAGATGATATGCTGTCTTTGCTCCCTGTCTTCTAGCACACCACTCACCTCCGTCTCTGTCGGAGTCCGGCTCCTCTCTCTCCGCCACCTCCAGTACAGAAGGACTTGTGAGAGAAGGCAGCTTGCCAAGCCCACCGCTGCCTTACTCCAGCCCGCTCTTATCCCGTTTTACCCCCGGCGATTGCCCCGTTCCCTCGCCGCGCTGCCCGAGCCTCAGCCACAGCCTGCGCTACAACCTCGACCCCGACACGGCTCCGTCGCCGCCCCGCTCGCAGCACATACGCATGTGAGACAAACGAGACAGCTCGGGCAGATTTCTCATTGTTTTTGGTGGTAGGGTTTTTTTTTGTGTGTGTGTGTGTGTGTGTGTATGTAACACACACAGCATGGATTATTAACAGACTTTACCTCTCCAGGGCTCGCTGCAGCGTCCCTGCAGAGCAGGAAGACGGTTCTGTGTCCGTCTCGGCTCTCAACAGACACATTCACACGCTCAGGAAGAAGATCAGGCGATTTGAGGAGCATTTTGAGCAAGAGAGGCACTACAAGGTAAGCATGGACTCAAACCAGCTGGACAGAATCAAGAATTAGAAATGCAGTTCGTAGGGAACAGTTCCCAACAATTTGTTGTTCCCAACAATTCGACATGGTGCCAAATGCTTATCTACGAAGATCATTTATTGTTCTTCACAGATGAGGTTCTTTATATTAAGACTTTTTGCCTTTGGCTTGTCACATCAACACATCAACATTTCTTCTGTTCTTTAAAAAAAAAAAAACATTTAGTGAAGGACAGTCCAATCCAAAAGTTACTGAATGTAAAATGAAGAGGCTTTATTTTTGTCCATATGCCATAAAGCAGCAGAATGATTCTTTTTTCCCCACATCTAAAGCCTTGATATTTTGTCTTATGATTTGTTTAACCTAGACCCAATTGATGCCGAAGCAGTTCAGTTCCATGTCTTGAACCTAAAATGTTTTAAAATGTGGAGGTTTATATATTTGAGTCTGGAAAAAAGGTTGAATTTTGAAAATAAAATGTGCCGAAACCCTTTCAAGCGAACAAATGGCTCCTCTGCTGGTAAACTGGAAAAACAAAGTGTCTTTTACAAAGCAAGTTAGCGAAACAAAACAAAAATGGCTCTGCTGTTAATGATCACTTTTTTTTTTATTTTGCTCTCAGCCAGCACATAATGACAAAACCTCTCATCCAGAAGTGGCCAAACTGATGAAGGAGCTCATCAGGAGCCGCAAGCAGCTGAAAGGTCAGTTATTAAACCATGACTAGAGTGGGAGGAATTTTTTTTTACTCTAAAGCTGCTCCTTTGGGGGTGGTTGTTATTTATGCAGGAAATCTATAGAAAAATCACAACTTTTATGGAAAGTTGTGATTTTTCACAACTTCCAAAGTGGTATTTTTTTTTTAAATATTTTAGTTCAAATCCTTAAAATATACACATATTTTTACTTTAAAAATCTGACCCTTTTCCTTGTTTCTTCTTCAGAAATAAAGCTGACACAGTCCGAAGAGTCGGGACTGAAGGGACTTGGAGGTTTCGGTTCCTCAGGTGAAACCTGCAGGACCAATGCAGAGCAGCGGGAGGCGGTGCCGACAGGAACTGAGCTTCGGCCGATCAACAATAACAGCAACGCCACGCAGAACTTGGAGGAAACGGTGAACTTGATCACCAACCGACTGAGGGAGAGGAGGAGTGAGCTGGGTTTGCCGGACAGCATCAAGGTCGGTGCTGTAGAAACGCTCTCATCACTGACACAGTGATTTTACATTAAGCTTAGAGTTCAAGTCAAACAAGATGCTAAAATAAATGCCAGCTTGTTATACTTTGTCCTCTTTGTGCAGGACATGTCCCATTTCCAGTTGAGCATGGAAAAGACCTGCATGCAGAAGTGTTTGCTGTACTTTGAGGGTCTGCATGGACGCCCGGTACGACAGAACTTTTTTTTTTTTTTCCAAGACGTTTCTTCTTTACATTTTAATTTGTGTAGAATTTTAATTCTCACAAATTAAAACAATGCTCTTCGTGCAATTTCAGATCACCAGGCAGCAACTGACTCTGATGAAACCGTTCTACGATCGGTACCGTCTGCTCAAGCAGCTGCTTTCTTCCGCCTCCACAGCAGCCATTACGACCATTGTGAGTTGCAGTTCAAGCAAAAATGTTTTTTTTATTTTAAGGATCATCGCTCGGATCTTAAATTCTCACTAAGACATTCAGGAAATTCTCTCCGACCCTGACGCCACAAACAAATGCAGCTGCCAGCAGTAAGTGTCGCTGTGCCCTCTAGTGGTCATTATAAGAGCTACATAAACTGCCTGCTGTATGCACACAGCTAGACGTTGACAAATTGCTGAATAATGATGCAGAAGCTGCTGGTTTCAACAGATTAAACAACTGGCATCTTCTTTACGGTAAAGTAGTGTTTGTTTTGTTTGTTTGTTTTGTGTTTTTTCCAGGAGGAAGAGGAGGGCTCTGATGAAGACCACTTTAAGCAGCAAAGCTCCAGAGAGCAGCCACTATGGTTAAAAACGCCTCAGTGCATGTCATCAGAGGAGCCCCAGTTTACATCGTCTGTGGAAACGTCTGAAACGCCGGTGGTGTCTCCGCTGGATGAGGGGAAGACTTTCCAGGCACAGGTCATCACTATGGCAACACTACATGAAGCATCCAGGTACTGCTTCTCTGCATACTGGTGTGTGTGTGTGTGTGTGTGTAAAACAAAGCAGAGGCTTTCATAAGATTTACTTTAGGTTAGCTGTCACATTTCCAGGTTAGGCGAAAATGACGCCACATATTTAAGCATATTTAACACTTTGGATGGCTGTTTATTTGGGACCCACAGTCTAATATGAAATTTGATTAAAGTATTTCCCTAACCCAAGTAACCTTCAGAGATACCTCTAAAGGTTTCATGCATGATTTATGCATCTTTTCAGCTTATTAAATGACAGCATACGCAGGTTGACGCTTGTGCATAAAATGTCTTCCTTCTTGCAGGCAAGAATTACTAGGTCACCTCCGGATGGTTCGATTAGAGAAGCGACGGCTTCACCAAACCCTCCAAGAGTTCGAAGACCGTTTCTACGCACAGACCGGCAGGTAGCCGCAACACGCACTAAAAAAAAAAAACACAAGTCCTCCTGATTTCTTGGCATTTCCGTTTTATTTAGTCTTTTAATAAACTTGGAACATTTGGTTGCTTTTTTTTTTCTTTTTCTTTTTTAAACAATGCCTTGTGAAAAACAAAAGACATCCACAAAAAGAAGAAAAACCATCGCAATGGTACAACAGTGTAATGCACACCCATGACACGTTAACCCAGCACAGAGAGCTCAAGGAGGAGACGGGGATAGACGTTTTGTTCTGAACTGTACACGTCCTGTTAGTCCTCCAAAGTAAAATACAGTTAGTTGTTGAATACAAGACACACACTGTACAAAGCTATCTGAGTAAGGCAACATAGGGACCATCAACCAGTCGTGGAAGCTGCTGCAGTTTGTTTCGAAACTTTGAAAAACAAAAGAGAAAAAGCATAGAAAGAAAAGGTTTTCGCCGTTTTTGCATCGTCTCACCTGCGTGTCTCGCTAACAGGGTCTGTCAGAAGGAGGACCGTGGACCAATGGCGGAGGAGTACTGCCAGTACAAGAACCTCAAGGCGAAGCTCCGCCTACTGGAGGCTCTGCTCAGTAAACAAGACTCAACCAAAGCAAGTTGAGTTACTCACAGTGGGACTTTTTATTTTTATTTTATTTAGCTCAACACAACTCTCTGTTTTTTTGTTTTTTTTTTCTTTTAACTGCTTCGATGCCGATGGGTTTTGTTTCATTCCATGCTCGTAATGTAAATGCACTTTACATGAAGAAAACTGAATGACCGAAAATCGCTGACACTCTGAATGAACACCGGGTCTGGATCTGCTTTTCTTTTTTTTTTTTTTTTTCCATCCCCACCATTTAGGACACTTTTTCATAACCCTGTCGTAGCCATTTTAGCACAGTTACCATGTCAACAATGAAGCAGCCTTAGTTACATTCGACTAATTTGTGAAGACTTCATGTATATTATGGCACTTTACTACTCACTTCCTTCCCTTATACCAAAAAAGATTTTCCTTCCTCCGTAGTTGATGTGGGAACTATCTTATGGAGAGAAAAAAACACACAAAAAAAACTGAAATAAGCTTCAATATAAATCAGCAAGACAATCCAGCAGTGTTTGTGCATGTCGGTTTTTTTTTTTTTGTCCTACATTGTGCTATGATATGCATTCATATTTTCATAGGTCATCTAAATTACGATCATCTGATTTAGATGTTGATCTTGAAACATATGCAGTGAACGTAGGCGTCATAGTGCAAGTTGAGTTTGAAATGTACTTTTTTCCCCCCTGCCTATATGAAGTCACCCCTCCCCCGAAATGTCCATGTTGACAAGGATATGCGCTTTTGAGATTGTGCACTTCTGGTTTATATAGTTTTCTATGTATTTATATCCATCTATCTATATATATATATATATATATGAGTGTATCAATAAAAATAAATATTTTTTTTCCACATTTATTCTGCAAAAAACACATTTCATGGTTCTACTTTCTTTTTTCAGTGATGATGAAATATGGTGGAGGTGCTGACAGCTTCAACACTCATGCTGCACAGAACTGCATCATGCTGTTTTTTTTTTTTTAAAGTTTAATAAATTGCTCACAGTTTGTCACCAAAAGACCTTGTGGATACACACGGAGAGATTGTTGCATTAGTGCGGTTCGGATTCCGCCGCGATTTAACGTCCAGGTTTTAATTCCTTTGGTATAAAAGAAATGAAATGAAACTGATCCGAGTGTTGCAGCCCTAGAAAACTGTAGTACCAGTCCGTGCCACTAGTAGGAGGTAAGTAGAGATCTGAATTAATCAATTGAAATGACGTGGAATGCGAATTCAGAGTCTCAATTGCTAGTTAACAGTGCATCAGTAACACAGAGGCTAAGATTGTTAATTTAACATGGATCATTATATAATAATTTTAAAAAAAGCACAAAGTTTAATAGAAGCAGACTTTTAGTACAGTTAAAGGGTTTGGTCAGTACACAAATATGAACCAAGTGATGATGGTGTTTTTACCTTTATTAGATGATGATAATTCAAGGATGTTTATTTTTTTAAATTTTTCTTTGATCTTTGGGAATGACGGCTTTCGGTAGGGACGGGGAGCAATGAGCCTTATAAATCTGCTGCTCCATGCACGTGTTCGCCAGCTTCGTCGGTCCTTGTGGCCTTCCTTCGTTTGTGTGGATGGGGTCAGTCAAAAAAAAAAAAAAAATCAAGTCCCTCTCTCCCCCTCCTGGACTTTGGGCTCCCTTTTTTTTTTTTTTTTTTTTTTGTCGTTTTTGTTGTTTAGCGTCCCACGCTGATGTTGCAGGTCTTGCAGCTGGGGTCCTTCTTGGCGTTTACCGTGGACAGACTCATGAGCTGGTGCCCGCTGATCTCCGCCACCGTGCCCAGAGCCAGGTCCACGGGCTCCGTGTAGATCACCTCCAAGATGACGTCTTGGGCGTGGTGGAACACCAGGCCGCCGTCTTCGTCCTGCTTGCAGGTCAGGAAGCGGTTGTTGCCGATGTCGAGGGCGGGCAGCCTCTGCTTGCAGAAGTCGTCGCCCCTGGAGCCCCGCGGCGCCAGGACCAGGATGACGTAGTGGTAGGCCGTGTACATGCAGTAGAAGTCTCCGAAGTACAGGTTGGTGTCGGGGTTGAAGAGCGCGTCGGCCCGCACCTCGAAGCGAAGGCGGCCGTAGGGGGAGTCCTGCGGCGGCTTGCCGGTGTTGAACTCTGTGTTGCAGCTGAAGAAGATTCCCTCCAGCTTGCCGCTGATGGGCGAGCCGTGACTGCCGCTGTTGTCTTTCACCGACGGCATCATCCGGTTGTCCTGCGCCTCCCTGGAGTTTTGAAAGAACAGATCTGGGTTTTATTTTCATGTCGGCTTTCCCTCGGAGCGATCTGCTAAGGAATCTGCAACGCGTCTTTTATTTCTAGCCATGACAACCGCAGACTTTAATGTACTTAATTTGGATTTTGTGTGATGGACCGAGACGATGTGGCACCGACTTGTGCTCCTTGATCTTCGTGATGCTGTTTGTTTACCATCTTTCTCCATCAAAACTCTGAGAGCACTTGGGTTTATGAGAGTTCCCTCTGTGGAACAACAATAGCAGTTTCTAGTCTATTTAGAGGTAACAAATGTCTTGAGTCCTTCACAGAATAATTTGCATGTGCACTGAAGCAGAATTTTGCAGTTTGATATTTAATCGACTGATTACTTCATCTGGATCTAGAAAAAGGAGGTTAAATACAAATGCATAGTTCACTTCAGTTCCCAGATTTTCTAGATAACAATAATAATAAAAAAAGAAAGAACAGTTCTGCACTACTCTGTGTTGATATGTCTCGTAAATTCCCAACAAACCATTTTGAATTTTGGCAAGATGAAAAAGTTCAAGAGGCATCAATGTTTTTTTTCAAGGCACTGTACAGATTTATGTAATGCATTTGTTTCTTTCCAATTAAAAACAGGACAGCTAGGATTTAGTGGAGGGATCTTAAATGACCAATTATGCTTATCATCTGTTACCAAGGAGACGACAGCACAGTCTCTTGTTTTACTTGTTTAAATAACCACTTAATAAATCAGTTTTCTTTAATCTTATGTTATAGACATAAATTATTTAAGGACAGGCATGGAAGTACTTTCATAAATTCATAGAAATCTAGATTTTAAAAAAAAATAAGCTAGTGCCACCACAATAAAAAAAATAATCTTTTGAAAATATGGACAGCTCCAGAAAAAACAAAAACGCACTAAAACAGAATAAATATGACCTCAAATTGTCAAACTATAAACCCCAGTCCTGTAGCTATATCTCCAGAAATCCTGTTTTCATTGTGGGAATAATACAATAATTCTGCTCTCAACGTAGGAAAACGGCAGTACCGGTAATCCCCACATGATGGGGTAGTTCACCAAACACGCTCTCCAGGAACTGGTTTAGCTGCAACTCAGCAAAAAAAAAAAAAAAATAGAAAAAGGAATGACGTCAGGTTGGACAGCAGCAGACAAAAGAGTGCTCAGAATCTGCAGCCTAAGTAAAGAAACCGTTGTATAACTGGGAGCAATTCCTCCAGGCGATCCGGTGGAAGGAAAACAGGAGAAAGAGAGGAATGTCCGTTTGAAGAGAAGAAAAGAAAAAAAAATCTGACAAAAACCCTGTCCGCCTACTCTGTGTAGCTGAGTGTTGTCAGCTCACTTTCAGTAAAAACATGAGGGAGTAAAAACAACCTTCCCGTATCTAAGGCTGTGTGTGTATATGTGTGAAGAGAAGTCTCCTGGAAGAACTGGCTGTTTGCTACAGTAGTTTTGATGTGGCATATTTGGATTGATGGCAGTAATTCGGATGCTTACAGCGGCTCCCTCCAGCTGATTCTCATTTCTTCCCCTGAGGCAGCTGGAGAGAAAGGCTTTAAAGCAAGAGTTAGGAGGCCACCATGTTGTTTTGTAGCGCAAAAGGTTTCTGTAGCGATCAGTCTCCATCCCTGAATTGTCTTGGCAGCAGCGCACGAATAAAATCCACACGTGCCGAGAACAAAGTGTTAGAAAACCTGTCCTTGTTAACTCACGACCGCTTTAATAAATATCTCACTGAAACACATGCTCGCCAGAAGCGCAGAGCGTTGCACGTCGTTAATTTAAGACGCGTAAAAGAGCAGCGCTGCTTCGTTCGGGGTAAATTTGACAAAGTGTCTCTTGACATTAATAGCAAATCTACCCAGAGTAAGTAAATAAGTGGTGATAAAAAAATAAGTGGTGATGAAAGCAGTTATGGCTGTGCCCACCTGGCATGATCGAAGTACTCGTTATGCTGGTTCCTGTAGAAAACAGAGAACCGCAGCATCCGCCCGGCAATGACTTCGGCCTTCTCCAGCAACTGGGTTAGATGAACCGTAGAGTAATCTAGAAACAGATTCGTTAGTTTATTGGTAAAACACACACAAAAAAACCCCCATAGAAAACAGATCATCAACTGTCATGAATCCATATTGAAATTTTCAGGTATTTAAAAAAAAAAGCCAAATATCTTCCATTCTGCCAATGAAGAAATTTGAACTTAACATGAAGAATAATTAAATGATTCCCCTCCAAATATCCCCTTTGCGACGGAGCAACTGGAGCAAAAACATTTAATCAAGTCTCGTAATATAATTCTACTCCCACCAATCACATCAGGGGCTTTTTCTTAATGAGTGCGAGTAACAGGCCAAAAATACGCTAGTACTCCAACAAACGAGTGCAGTTTTGTTTGGTTTTCTTTTGCTATATCCAAGAGCTTTTCAAAGAACACCTTGACTTTTGTTGCTGCCCTGATCCTTCCTGTACACACAAAACATTTGTTTATTGACGTTACCAGGAGTTTATCTGCCCAGCGAGAATGTGGAGGAGGAGCAGGAACACTACAATGCCCCTCAGTTCACTTTCCTCCTTTTAATCTCCTTCACAACCCAGTCTAAGAGATGCACCAACCATCTATTTAATGTCGTCCACTTATCTGAGATCAGGTCACCGGCTGACGGGGGGCTGGGATTTAAAACCCAGACATCCCTCTTTGCTTGACGATTAATATTTACCCTCGAACAAGCTCTGGTCTGCTCTCAGTTGGACCTACTGAGGAAAACCTTCAAAACGAGGTAATCAGATGGAAAAAAACCCATCTCAACTGAGTCCTTTTGACACAGATCAGGAGTGGCTCTGACCTGAGCACTCTCTCCAGACGATGGAGCGACTCTCTCCATATAAGTAGGCAGTAGGGATGGAGTGAGGAAGCCGTGTGAATGTGTTGAGCCTTTTCAGCATTTGCTTCACCGGTAATACTTAATAGCGTTTGGGATTTTCAAGGCAGTATTTGTGTTTGTTGGCGGGTATGGTTGCCATGTCATGCAGTCAGAGCTACAGTTACCTAATAAAGTAGGAATAAATAATGGCTATTATCACTTTTGATGTTTATCACAACAGTACCACAAAATATCGTGAGGAAACTTTAATGTTGTCCACCCCTAAATGGGAACAAGCTTCACTTTGATCTGAAGACCCAGAAAAAGGCACACATCCACTGATAGCGCTTCAGAAACCCTCTTGCCGGTGCTAAAATTCTGTTATCCCTCTCATGCTTCGTTCTTTCTATTATTTTTCATTAGCTTAACTAAAACAGAAATACATTATGTTGTGTGACGGGTTGATAAAGAGCCAATTTCTTTCCCAAATCTCCTTGTGTGTCAACAATCCTGGCTCATTTCTTGAGTGCAGCCGCTTTTTCATGGCTGGTTATGTTTTGATGCAAGCTATGAAATTAGGTTCAAGCACCTAATTGCTAAACAAAATTTATTTGGCTTTTCAAGAATGTTACCTTGCTGCACAGGTCCATCTGCAGCAACCCAATAAAAATGAAAATTGATTGAATTCAATGAGCTAATGATATACTGCTTGGCCTCGAGGCGTCAGAGTTAAGGACAGGCAGGGGAATGGGCACCTAAGGGCCTAAACTGTGTGTCTGTTCTCTCTACCAGGAGGCCTCAGTGGATAAGCCCCCCCCCCCCCGCCTCACCCTCTCAGCCTGCTATCCATTCTTTCCCCTCCCCCACTATAAGCCTCTTGGTTGTTATGTTATGTGACTTTAGCATTCCAAACATATAGCACAGCTCCCCTTCTTCCTTTAATCCCTCTATTTTCTCATCCTCCTCCACTCCTCTATTGATCTTCTCCTCAAATCACTGCAGACTTCCTTTGATATTCTCCCTCCCAAAATGCCATCGTCTTTATTTCTGTGTGTATTTCGTACTGTTTGGCCCCCTCCAAAACCTGAAAAGGCAGCTCTGACGGAGGTCGATCGAGGACATGCGCGACAATGATCTGCGAGTTGTGGATTACGCACCGGCAGTGCAGAACTCGATGATCTCGCTCCACTCGGAGACGGTGTAGTCCCCATCGGTCTGTTTGGACGCAGTCTGGACGGCCACAGTGTACTCCGTGCGGGGGCTCAGGAACCAGTGGCCCCGGACCGTCATGGGCAGGGGCACCGCCTTGGCCACGAGCTTGGTGGGAACGTCCTGGGTACAGAGAAGGGAGACAGGATGACAGGCAAGGAAAAAGGGCAAAAAAGGTCAACCTTGGCACGTCCTGATTACTCAGAAGGAGACTGACCACGTATGTCTCTCTTTTTTTTTAGTTTTTTATTCCCAGCTACATGCAGAGTCTGACCAGATTATTTCTACACCCAAAATGCTCTGTCAAATTTCATCAACAATCCCCCCGCCCCCCAACCACCACCACACAGGTGTCAGTTGGCCTTAGCAGCTCAGTGATTGGACCGACAGCTCCTGCCTAGCAACAGAGTCATCCCGCGACAACAAGGCAGAAAGAGGAGAGGTTCTCTGCAGCAACTCAAATAAAATAAAACACAGGAAGACGGAGGCTGATGAAACAAATGTTAAAGAATGACTAAAACAGACACAAAGCAGGGTCTGTTTTAGTGCCGCAGAGTTAGCCAATCAGAGCATCTGGCGTTAGTGTCCTAAAGTCAAAACCACCTTGAGAGGAATCTTCTTTAAGCTCTCAAAGAGAGGTCAAGTTGAGGTAATCCCCACCATTATTTAAAAGAGAAAAGTAAAGTAATTTCTTGATGCAGCAAAAACATCTGTAAAAGTCTTTTTTTTTAACCCCGTTACTACAGTTAATGCAAAACTTCAGTATTTCTGCATTCACCATCCCTTGCAAAAATGTGTAAGGTTGTAACGGGATGGATGCCACACCCTTTTCCCATATTTACTCAGACATGGAATAAAAACCCTAAACATTTACACGCTTTCTCAAACTGTGTGGAAAATCTGATTTAAATGTTTGTTTGTTTTTTAAAACGTCTCCACAACTTCCAAGTGCATCACGCATGCAAAAAACAGACTTGAGGAACGCAAAGTTACAAATATAGATACTATACAGATATTTGGGTATTTATAAGTATCTGTAAATTTTATCTTTGAGAATGAACAATAATTTTCATTTTCAAAATTGCATCATCTGAAGAATATCTTGATATCATTTGAAATAAACTTACACAACTCCATTTGTATTATAAGCTAAAATCATGTTCATGTTGCTTTGACTACTGGCTGAGCATAACTATGGAAGATTCATATTATTTAACTTATAGAAACACATTTGTGCTAAAGACCACTGCACTTTCGTAAAATAAATGAATAAGAATAACTGTCTAGTGATGTATGTTATGAAGTTTCATAGCCAACTCAAGGCAAAGGGAACCAAACTGCTGTTCTTGGTCCCAAAAGAACCGGAAAGATCCCAAAAGTCAGGTTTCTACACCTCCACTGATGTCTTACACATCACTCATAACTGTTCAAAGCAAAACCTTCGATCCCAGAGAGCTGAATTTGAAATATTCAAAAAAAATTATTTAAATATTTTTACACATGCACAATTCACACAAGATTCTCTCTACATATAAATCACATATGAAATGAACATAATCTGAGCAGCACAAATCTGGTTGTGGTGGCCATTTATGTAATGTTTGCAACTTGTAATTTCTACTAATTTAGTTTTCTATTTTGGGAAGTTTAGAATTTATTTAAGTTAAGTTTAAATCCATAATCTGTAGTTAATTTGTATATTTGAATTGATTATGTTGGTAATTGGTTAGACCCTCCCATTAATTTAACCAAACATTAAAAGTAATGTTTGGTGTGTGGATGGGAGGTTTTTTGTAAATGATTTTTTGACCACTTTCACTTTTCACTTTTTTTGTACTTGAAACGTCATATTAAGTTTACTTTCATTTTTGACTAAGTTGTAGGACATTTTTTGGTAATTATTTTGTCGCTATTTTTTTTTTACAAGAAATAAAGAATATATTTTTTCAAACAAATTAAGTCGGAAGTGCGTTCAAATCAAAAACCACCTGTTAACACCCACGGCCTTTGTTGGAATATTGTTTTTTGGAAACGAGAAGGCCGCGACACTGGATATTGCGTGTTTTTACCATCAAAGTGGTTATGTTAGATATAATGGACCTGCTCTGTTAAACTGATTGTCACGACTCATTATTTGATCGGAACATTTTTTACCAATAATAAAATACAAAAGCCATTTCAGAGGACGATTGGCGTTCTTAATTCAATTATTTTGTGAAAATGTACCAGTAAAGAGCCTATCGTTTATTTTCAAAAGGCCATAATAACAGTCTGCTCAGTGGCGTCACCTTTAAAAGGTTGTTTATGTGTTTGACTGGCGCCTCTGTTACCTTGTGTTTGAACTTGTTTGAGTTTTTGTTCTCCTTCTTATTCAGGTCAATGAAGTAGTGTGTGATGCGTTCCTTGCTGCGCGCCTCCATGTCCCAGCAGATCTTAAAGGAGTCGCAAGTGATGTTGCTGATTTTGATGTTCTGAGGAACAGGGAGTTCTTCCATGCTGCCATCCTGGGATTTGCTATCTGTGTAATTGAGAGAAAAAAAAAAAAGAAGTGAGAAAAAACAAAAAAAAAAAAGACTGTCACCATGGAACGGCATAATAGAATAGCAAAATGGGATCAAATGACTAAAAATTCTTTGAATAATTACACTCGCTGCTTGAATATTTGCTTTACAACGACCCAGAGGTGATCATAAATCGCCATTTTATGCACACAGTTCAAAACAAGAAAACCCTGACTCCACGCATTTATAGTCAGCCTGCACAGTGGAATGACTAGAGCTTACCAAAAAAACCCCATAAAAAATAAAAAACTGGAGTAGCTATTCAGCACACAGCATTTACAGTATAGCCATCAAAATGCACAGCGGGACAGAGCTGCGTACTGTATACGCTGCCATGGAAACACCGCTCTCTGCACGCTTGTGCACATATCTGCTTTACAGAGCCTCAGCAGTGTTACAAATCCGATACTCAACTCCCTTCTCTTCTAAGCGGCCTCATCGGTTCTACGAATCTTCTGCAGAAGCAAGGGCGCTCGAGCAGTAATCGGGGGTCACGTTATTGCCACAGTGTCACTAACCCATTTGGCCTCTACCAAAAGCCCAATGCGCTGCAGCAAATCTCACATTTTCTCTGCTGCACGGCTGCCAACGGCTTTACAACTCAAAGTTCACCCAGAGGCTGATGGAAAAACAAAACCCCGCTGAATAAGAGCTTTGTCACGTAAGACGGAGTATGGACTTTGAGACGCCCACTTGGCATGGCAACAATGCATTTGCTGTGTATTGCTCTGGGGTCTGCACACAACAGTGGGTAAAAATTCAAGAATGCCGTTTTTTTTTTTTTTTTTTGGGGGGGGGGGAATTTTAAAATTTACCGGGCCCTTTTAGGGGGTTAAAAAAAGCAA